ACAATCCAATTAAAATTTCAGTGTCTCTCTTTTCACATTTCTGGATGGAGCTGTTGAAGAACCCACATTGTAGTAATAACCATAAAACCACCTTGCTAAGGAAATGCTACCAAGCTTAGAAATAATACCTTTATAGTCTGTGTGGGAATACAGAAGTCCAGAATCGTCAGCAGGTGATCACACTGACTGAGTTCTCATTTCCTTCCTTTTATGTCCTCTTTATGGAGGACACATTCTGAATTGCACTTGACTGCTAAGTGGGTAGAATGAGGGAGCATGAGTCTATTTGAGAAATTACAAATCACAGATTATTTGAGAATATTGAGCCTAGAGAGTTTGAGGGATTTGGCCAAAATCATAGAGCTGACAACAGGTTCAAGTCCCCAGGTCCTCTTTGTAATAACTTCTACTTCTAATTTCCTCTGTTTCTGGGCAATTCTTAGCCTTCTGCTAAGACTGGGGCCAGTTTTTCAGAGACAGCCAAGACATTGTACTTAGACATGGTCAAGTCCATAGCAACTCACTTCTATACAACACTGGTTATATGTCAGATACCATGCTAAGAACTCTTACACACATTATCTCTTTTATTCTTCATAAGCACTCTGTAAAGAGGGACTCCATTAGTTCACCATTTTACAGATGAGAAACTGAAAACCACAGAGGCCGGGCAACTTGTTCAAGGTCACACATGTATGGAAGTGGTCAAAGCAGAAACTGAAACTAAGTCAATCTGATTTGAAAGCCCATGCATTAAACCACTTTACTATTTTGCCTTTCCACACAAACAAGAACAAGCCAAACAGAATGAAAATCCACATTATTATTTTAAAACAAGAACGCTTCATGCTTCATGTCTCTTTTTAAAAGACAGTTACATGTGAACAATGGCAATATGAAGTGTGTCTGAAATATGAGTTGAAATTTTGGGAATGTAAATCTGAAGAACTCAGTACTTTATTTATTAAACATTTTTTTCTTTAATGCTTATTTACGTTTGAGACAGAGGGGAGAGGTAGAGAGAGAGAGACAGAGACAGAGAGAGAGGGAGAGAGACAGAGAGAGAGAGGAAGAGGGAGAGAGGGAGAGTGGGAGAGAGAGAGGAGAGAGAGAGACAGAATGCAAGCTGGAGAGGGGCAGAGAGAGAGGGAGACACAGAATCCTAAGCAGGCTGCAGGCTCTGAGCTGTCAGCACAGAGCCCGATAGGAGGCTTGAACTCATGAAATGTGAGATCATGACCTAAGCCGAGGTCGGACGTTCAACTGACTGAGCCACCCAGGCACCCTGAGAACTCAATACTTTAGTGTCTAGAGAAGATCATGGTAGTTTTACATAAATATACCCTTTCTTCAAGTAAAATATCAAATAATATGTAAGAAACATGTGTTGATTATTTTTGCCAAGTATTAGCTACTATTTGTAAAATCTTATTAAGAAATTGTTGCCAACAACAGCTAGCACTGGGGAGCTGACCCAGTTCTTTGGTCATGTCAGTGGTGTTCTTGTAACTGACAGAATATTTATTCCCACAGTAACTGCTATAAATTGCATTTTGCCCCTTCAGTTGCCACACAAGCTTGCGATGGTGAGGGGGCGGAGAGGACAACCTGTAATTCAGGATGGTTTGGAAGCGGGTTGCCTAGGAAACTGGAAAAAGTAGCATCGTGCCCACCAAAACTGTCAACAAGAGAAAGGATTTTTTTTGATCCGTGTTGCTTTTCAAATACATATTTTGTGACTTTCGTGAGTCTGATTAGGGCCATTGGTCCTTGGTGGGCAGTGCATGCCAAAGTGGGTCAAAGGTTAGTCAGAGAGGATGGGAAATTCTCTATAAATAAACATTGTGCTGACAGAATACTGGGGGAAAGGGATAATGGTGTAGTTCATAGGAGTTTATAAGATGACAAAGTTATCAACAGGTGAATATTTCATACTATGTGACATGCAAGCAATTCTTAGTCATAATTTACATATAAATTTCTAGCAGTGAAAACTTACTTTTTTTAACATAAAAGTTTTATTTGCTTTAATCCACTCTTTGCTGCTCTTGTGCTACTTACACCAGAAAGTTTGGTTCACAGGAGAGTAGTTATTTTCAAGGGTAGCACTTGGAAATTCACAAATATTTGATGAAAATAATTTCTTAATACTTTAAATGATATGCATATTTAATTTTTGTTTTTAAATGTATCACAGATGCACACATATACATTTTATAGGTGTGTTTATGTGTGCACATATATTTAAGTAAATCATGAAATTGCTGATTTTAGCCTATATTAGGTCTATAAAAATGGCAATTTTATATATTTCAACTTATAAATAAATATCAGAGATCACAGAATGTATTTTTTCCTTGTCCTTCTTTGCTTGGGTGCCCGTTCCCTCTTTTCTCATCTCCACCTTACCCTACCCAGTAGCAATTCTACCCTAGCCTTCTTATATATCCTTGCCCTATTCTTGCCTCACATGAACAACCTAGAGTGCATCTCTGGGTTCACAGAATCATGGACAGGTGTAAATATGTCTGTGTGTCTATGTCTGTGTTAGTGACAAAAAGTCATGGTGCAGACTGCTAGGAATTTACCCAAGGGATACAGAAATGCTGAGGCATAGGAGCACATGTACCCCAATGTTCATAGCAGCACTCTCCACAATAGCTAAAACATGGAAAGAGCCTAAGTGTCCATCAACAGACGAATGGATCAAGAAGATGTGGTTTATCTATACCATGGAATACTACATGGCAATGAGAAACAATGAAATCTGGCCATGTGTAGCAACATGGATGGACCTTGAGGGTGTTATGCTGAGCGAAATAAGTCAGGCAGAGAAGGACAAATACCATATGTTTGCACGTATAGGAGGATTAGGAGGAACTTGACGGAGGACCAAGGGGGAGAAGAAGGGCGGAAATGGTGGGGGAAAGGGAGAGAGGCAAACCATGAGAGACTCTTGAATGCTGACAAAAACTGAGGACTGATGGATGTGGGGGGGAGGGGGGGATGGGCATGAAGGAGGGCACTTTGGGGATGAGCACTGAGTGTTATGTAGAAACTAATTTGACAATAAACTATTTGTAAAAAAAACAAACAAACAAAAAAAAAGTCATGGTGCAGAATCTCAAACTTTCAGATTAGTTTTTCCCCACTGGTATGTATAGCTAAATATTCTTTTTCCTGTATTTGAATATTGCTTATCTTCTCTTTCTTGCACTTATCCTTAATGAATCTCAGCCTAATTTTAAGTAGTTTCTTCACTTCTGACATTCATTCGCTTGAATTCTGTTTCTCTCATATGTGCTAGAAACAAGTCACAAATGATTCAAGGTGCAAAGTGTGACGTGTTGCACAGATGGATTAGTAATTCTTTTCTGGTTTCCTGCTTTGCATCCACAGAATAACCTGTTATTTTGTAAAGTTAAGAGGAAGGATATATGAAAAAGAAACACTTTGGATGATTCTACTAACCCTAGACACAGAATTTCTCCTGCAAGGAAAAATGGCCTCCTACCGCCATTTCTCTGGTCCATCTGTCAGAATCAAGTTAACGATTGCTTAGGCAATGGAGTCATATGAAAAGACCTTAGAAGTTATGTTATGGATGAGACTGTTTGAAATCTTAAAGATGTACAGCTTCACTGAAGATGTGATAGGAGACCTGATGTTCTCACTGTCAGCCAAAGATGACTCTTCCCTCCCCGCTACTGCAACTGCCATTGAATCCCATGTTCTTCTTCAGAGACTATCTTTAATTTATTAGGCCATTGTGGCAGATTTCTGCTTGGTATGGTGGGCAGATACCCAAGATATTGAGCAACTGGGCTATTCCACGACTACTCTACTCTGAGTACTTCTTACTCAGAAGTGAGTGTTGACAGAAGGAGAAGGAAATGAGGACTTGGTGGTTGGACATTCATGCCTTCTTCTCCAGTGTGCCCTTACCCCCACCCCTCACATGAACGTGTACTGTTCTTGGATGTCCTTTGGCTTCCACACAAATGCTACCACAAAGGGCTGTTGTCCTTGGGCTACAGTTGCTTCTCTTACTTGAGAAGGAAAGTGCCTTAGAATGAAATGAAGTGTGAATTCCTAGGAGTTTGGGGGTTGAAGTTCTCTTGGGATTAACTCAGGAGATGCCATTCCTGAGTTGTCATTGTTTGCCTGATAGAATTTCCTTGAGTGAGTCTTTTATCCTCAGTGGAGTATACCCTGGCCAGGGAGAATACAGATCATTCCAGTTCTTGTAGGTATGATTGAGGGCTGTTATTTATTTAGAAGCTGAGTCTGCCCTTTTCCTGCCTGTCAAAAGGGCTTCAAAGCTGCTGCACCAGGAACTGTTTCAGATTACAGACTTCAGTAACTAATGATCCATGTCCTCCCTCAGCAGTAAAATCCCAAAATGGTCCTAGGAGAGGAGAAGTAAATCCTGATAGCTGCTTAGAGGTCATCTTAGAACTAAATCTCAGGAGAAATGCTTTTAGGTTGAGAGGGAGAGGTCTCCCTCAAAAAAGGAAAGGAAAAGAAAGGGAAAACATGAGACGTGCACAGAAAGGTGTCTGCAGTTCACCCAGGTGTGTTCTGAAGATCAAATCCCTACATCAGCAATTAGCAGGAAACCTTTGAGCTCTTCTACCTCTGAGGAAGCACAATGGAATCAGAGAGCATAGGAAGCGTGGGCGCGCACGCATGCACACGCGCGCGCGCGCGCGCGCACACACACACACACACACGCTTCACCTGATTCTACCCGCAGGTCTTCCATAGGAAAGGAGTTTCTGTGGATGAGAGAATGAGACCAGCTGATAGTCCAAGGAGGCTGTAACTTTAGCAGACCTACAGAGAACATTGATGCAGGACGCTTGTTATTCTAAATCCCGGAAGCCTTTTTATTTTTAATTTGGAAAGTATGTGAATGCTGCTTTGGTTCCCAAACTGGACAGTGAGGTAAACAGGAGCAGCCGCCACAATAAGGAGCAGAAGCTCTCATCCTGATCACCATGGAGTTTCTTGAAAGAACTTATCTTGTGAATGACAAAGCCACTAAGATGTATGCCTTCGCCCTAGACAGGTAACAGACATCTGTTTCTGCTTCGCAATTTTCTGTCTTGACTATTCAATAAACCCTGAGGCGCTACTGCTTCAAAATTGGAAACTTCTGCTGTGCAACTCAGAGGCATTTTGTAAAATTTGGTAAACTACTGACTGACTGGTATAATTCAAATCCTGATGAATTCAGGATTTAGTTCCTTAAATATCCTAAATGCACAAAGGATACATTTTATTAATATATTTTTCATATGTAGTTTATCTTCCAGAAAACAGGCATATCCAATCTAATGTGTTTACCTTTCTTTTCTCCAATTATTTCCATTTTTAAAGTTCCAGGTAAATTTTATTAAATTATATTTTAGAAAAAAGTTAAGGGTTTTAAACTGTGTGACAGAATTGTGATTATATTGATCTTTAAGTTAATTGTTATTTTCTTAATCATAAAATAACATAATCAAATGTATACAACTATAATAAATATAGCTGAATTTAATGTTCTATATAGTTCTAGTTCCATTTAATATCTCCATGGTACTACATGCAGTATATTCATTCATTTTCCCCTTATTAAACTACTATTGATTAAATATATCTGGATATATAACAGGAAGAAAATATTCCTACCCTCAGATCTCTGTCCTCTTGAAATTTTGAGTCTAATGTGGAATGCATCTAGGGAATAGGCAATTACAAAACATCATAGAAGTATCATTCTGGTGGTGTTTAATGAGAATATCTCAAAGAAAAGGTATTAGCTAGACTTTAGGGGTCAGAGAAAGCTTTTCAGAAGTGCTAGAGTAAGAAATGAAAAATGAAAAGGAGTTAGAGAGTAAGGTTAGGAAAACTCCACAAAGAAAATAGGGTTAAGAGAGAGGGAGGCAAATCATAAGAGACTCTTAGGAGTCTCTTTGTTCTATAGAGAACAAACTGAGAGTTAGAAAGGAGGTGGGTGGGAGATGGGCTAAACGGTTGATGGGTATCAAGGAGGGCACTTGTGATGAGCATTGGGTGTTATATGTATGGATGTATGTGAGGAATCACTAAATTCTACTCCTAAAACCAGTATTACAGTATTTGCTAACCAGCTATAATTTAAATAAAAATTTGAAATGGAGAGTGGGGGGGAGGGGAGAAGGAGACGGAGAGAATAAGATTGGGGGACATTTCCAGACTGAGATAATTGCCTGGAAAAAACAGACATATAAGAACAAGAACTTCCCATATAAGAATTGGGAAGTTCAGTCTGAATGAAGAGCAAAGAGAAACATGCTTATTACATATAGATAAATGAATGGAAATCTGAAATGAATTCATTTTAGGAGCAGAGCTTAAGAGAATACATAAACATTAATACTATATGTAATGTTTTTGTTTTGTGGAACCAAATTAATATTCTAAAGAGTAGTAACATTGTGTTTGATAGCATCAAATATTTGAACAACAGTAAAGGGACTTTTTTTAATAGGATATTTATAATTTGGCTTTAAAAATATATGATAGATTCTAGCACATCTATTATCTCACATTATAAAAATTATTCTTCTTAGATGAAACAGGTGATGGGGATTAAGGAGTGCACTTGTGATGAGCACTGGGTGCTGTATAGAATTGTTGAATCACTATATTGCACACTAACATAACACTGTATGTTAACTAACTGGAATTAAAATAAAAACTTAAAAAAATGAAAAAAATAAAATCGTATTATATATGATTTATTAAGACCATAAATAACAAAACCTCATGTTAGGTCAAGCAGAAATTTTAGACAACCGATGATTAACACTATGGACACTATTAATAAAGCATCTCTATGTTATTAAAATAACACTATTTCCCTTCTCACTAAAGTAGACCATTAACACTATTACACAAATAAAGCCAACTATTTATAGTTACAGGGTCTCTTTCACTTCCTAAATGGGTATGGTTTTCAGGATATGGTGATGATAAAAACTGTCAAACTCATTTAAAAAAATTTTTTTTAAGTTTTTATTTTATTTTTGAGAGAAAGAGAGACAGAGTGTGAGTGGAGAAGGGGCAGAGAGAGGGAGACACAGAATCTGAAGCAGGATCCAGGCTCTGAGCTGTCAGCACAGAACCTGAAGTGGTGCTTGAATCCACAAACTGTGGATCATGACCTGAGCTGAAGTTGGACACTCAACCAACTGAGCCACCCAGGTGCCCCTGTCAAACTCATTTTAATTTTCTTTTCATATAAAAGCAGTTAAACCTGGGAGAGATGATTTATCCTGATCCCTGATTTTATCAATTAGGAACCTGAATACCAAAGAGAAAAAGTGCCTTTCTTAAGGTCAGATATCTAATTATGATAGAGTTGGGAACTGGATCCATGCCTCCTGTTTGTGAATTTAGCATCTGCTTCCTCCTCCACATCTCCTGCACACACATTTTCACCTTGTACCCTCCTGAATCCTTAACTTATTTCTTCTTGACGTCACACGGACCTTGATTTCCTCAACAATCATTTTATTATTCATAGTTTTGTGGGTCAGGATTTCCTCAAGGCTCCATATAAGTTCAGCAAGGTGTGTTCATGGGGCTGTATTCTGCTGGTGTCTCAAACACCAGAATCAGTGTCTCAAACACTCAGACACCAAATCCAAAATGGCTTTGCTCACATGTCTGGGAGCACTGTGTCAGCTTTTTGGTTTGTCTTCATTCTCCCTCCTATGGCCTCAAATATCCCCCCACTCCTGTAAAGGAGCCTGCTATGGACTGAATATTTGTGTCTCCCCCCATCCCACAAATTCATATGTTGAAGCCTGAACATCCATATGACTATCCTGGAAACAGGACTTTTAAAAGGTGATTAAGATTAAATGAAGTCATTAGGATGGAGCACTGATATGGTAGAACTGCTGTCCTTATAAAAGAGGAAAAGACACCAGATCTCTCTCTCTCTACCATGGGGATGTAGCAAGGCAGCTATGTATAGACAGGAAGAGAGCGTTTGCCAGAAACTGAATTTTTCTAGCACTTTAATCATGGACTTTCAGACCATGGGAAAATAAATTTCTGTTGTTTAAGTTACCCAGTCTGTGTTATTTTGTTATAGCAGCTTAAGCAGACTAACACATGGTCCAGCTTTAATTGGATTGGATTGTGGGGCAATTTATGCCTCAGGGTATTGTTGAAAACACTAATCAATAAATGATTAAATAGGTCAATTGTTAGATATGATACCCATTTAGGCAGAGCATCCAGAAGCTTAACAGTGAGACAATGGACAGCGATAGTCAAAGATTAAAGAGATAGTCATGATTAAAGAAGATCAGCATCCTTAGGCTGGGGTGGGGGTTAGGAGGTAAAGATGACTGTGTGCATGCCTAAGGCTGCACCCTCTTGCAAATGATAACAGAAGCTGTATGTGTAGGGGACATAAGAGGAAATAGATTCCACTTAATTAGACAAGTCATTCCTAAACAAATAAAAATGCAAACAAGTAAAAAGCCCCAACAGGCCCATGGGAGATCAGTATCTAGAACTGCTATAGTGTATTATCAAAAAAAATAAAAATAAAAAAATAAAACATCCAATTTTAGGCAAAATATTATAATGCCTGCAAAGAAATAGTGAAGAATACTCCAAGGAAGAGCAGGTAATAGAAACTGCCTTTGAAAGGGCCCAGATATTGGACTTTGCATTCAAAGATTTCAGAACAGTCATTATAAATAAGAACTAAATGAAATCATATTTAAAGAAGTAAAGAGAGGTATGATGCAGTGTTTCATCAAAGAGAGAATGTCAATAAAGAGATAGAAATTATATTAAAAAGAAAAAGAACCAAATGGAAATTCTGAGTTGAAAAGGAAGCACTATCAATAATAGCCATATTACGGAAAGAGTCCAAATATCCATCATCTGGTAAATGGATAAAGAAGATGTGGTATATGTATACAATAGAATACTACTTGGCAATGAGAAATAATAAAATCTTGCCACTTGAAACAATGCGGATGGAGGGTATTATGCTAAGTAAAATAAGTCAGTCAGAGAAAGACAGATATCATATGTTTTCACGCATATGTGGAATTGAGAAACCTAACAGAAGACCATGGGTAAGGGAAGGGGAAAAACAGTTTCAAACAGAAGGAAGCAAACCATAAGAGACTCTAAAATACAGAGAACAAACTGAGGGTTGATGGAAGGGCAGGAGGGAGGGGGAAATGGGTGATGGGCATTGAGGAGGACACTTGTTGGGATGAGCACTGGGTGTAGTATGTAAGTGATGAATCATGGGAATCTACTCCTGAAGCCAAGAGCACACTGTATACACTGTATGTTAGCTAACTTGACAATATATTATATATATAAAAAAAGGACAGTGAGAATAAAAAAATTGTCAAAGGGGCTCAGCAGTAGATATGAACTGGCAGAAGAATCAGTGAACTTGAGGGTAGATCAATAGATATGCAATATAAAGAACAGACAGAAAGAATAAGGAAGGAAAAGAACCTTAGGTAACAGAACCTTAGGGAGATGTGGCAAATCATTAAATCCCTAACATAAGCATCATGGGAGTACCAGAAGGAGAATTTAAAAAGGGGGAGAAAAATATTTAAAGAAATAATGACTGGAATTTCTCAAAATTTGGTGACAATATTAATCCACATATCTACAATGGTCAACAGACTCGAAGAAGAATTAAGGAAAAATGGATCTACTCTGACATATCATAGTGAAAATACTGAAAGCAAAACACAAAGAGAAAATCTTGAAAATAGCAAGAGAGAAAAAAAGATTCATCATGTTCAAGAGCATCTCAGTAAGATTAACAGCTGACTTCTAGCAGAAACAAAGGAGCTGGAAGGTGGTGGAATGACATATTTAAATGACTAACAGAAAGGGCTGAAAGAAAATGACAACAAGGGCTAACTGTCAATCAATCATCTTATATCCAGCAAAACTATCTTCTAAAATGAAGGAGAAATGAAGACATTCCCAGGTGAACAAAAATAGAAATGTTTTTGCTAGTAGACTCACATTTCAATAAAT